CTGCATACAGAGGAGAGGGGTGAGAGATCACAAGGCCTGCAAACATAGTGGAGATGGGTAAGAGGTCCCTAGACCTACATAAAGAGGAGATGGGTGAGGGGTTTCAGGAGCAGCATACAGAGGAAAGGGATGAGAGGATCCAAAGCCTAAATTCAGAGGAAAAGGATGAGAGGTCCCAAGACCTGCACACAGAGGAGAAGTTGGATTTAACTGGTTTCACGCAGTCTGAGGTGAACTCTGTATGTGTGCAAGAATCCACAAACTCACATATAGAACGTTGACTAGAATGGACAGAATAGGATGTTGAGAATAGCTTCAATAGGATGTTACTCATCTTGCTATTACCCCACCCATTCAAGTAATACAACAGCCTTCCCAATTCATATTTCCACCCTTTGTTTCCACCCTGTGTTCCCAGCAAGCAGCATCAGGGATACGCTCAGGCAGCCAACGCTGATGCCAGTCTCCGCATACAGCTGGCAGAAAAGGAGCAAGCACTACTGGAAGCCCAGGAAAACATCCAGGTAAGAACAATTCCCAGCATTCTCTGTGCCTTGTTTTGTATCATAAATTTTGCAAAAAATGCAAAAGCGGGACCTCTCTACAGACTGCAGACTGATATGGTAAAAATAGTCCTGAGTGACACAGAAGAGGAACACACTCCCCACCTACCAGAGAAAGGATCATATTAAAATGGTTCTAAAGCCGATAGCGCTGATCAGTGTTTTCTGATGGCGGGGAAGTCTCCCCACCATCAGAACACAATAGCTCAGCGAGAGTGATTCCCCATCCACATCGAATGTATGGATGGGGGAATTGGGTCATTTTTTTTTTTTTTGTTCATCCCTGGTCTTAAGAGGGCTGCATAGTCTTCACCACCCAATCCAGGTTGTATAACGGGAGATCTCAGTCTGTTCCGTTCCTCTGGAGTCCCTTAGCGCTATGTTATCCAGCTACTATTCTTATGTCTTTTCTGTTCTTGCATGACTGTGCCCCTGTGTACAAAGCCAGCTCCATAAAGACATGGTATGACCTGTTTGGTGTGAAGGAACTTGAATGGTCAGCACAGAGCCCTGACCTCAACCCTACGGAAAACCTGTGGGATGAGTTGGAACGCAGACTGTAATCTAAATCTCCTCCAACATGAGTACCTGACCTCACAAATGGGCACTGTCAAGGGGCGCCCGGCTCCCTCTCTCACTTTTCCACAAACCTACATGCGGGGAGTTATGTATTCTGAGCCCAACACCTCACATACAGTTCCTGCCTCTCCTCACCCGTGTCTGACCCCCTGCTGGGGATAGCATGTAGATTTTCTCCTAATGGCTGCAGACTGCCTCCCTCCAGGTTCCAGAGCTCTGGTTGGCATGACTCACTGTCTTTCCCTTGCTATGACCCATCAGAGACAAGGAGCTCACCCCTAACCATGCTCCTGATGTGGCTGCGCAGTAGGGGGCAGAGCATGTTGCCAGGGCAATCTAATGCTAAGCAGGATCACGACCTGACTGAAGTATAATTATCAGAGCCAGGGGACATATATCAGAATTCTTCTCCCTTGCGATTGGGCTTCTTGTGTAGACCTGAAGCTGCAGCGAGGCCACCCATGCTCTGTTCCTTTTTCCCAGAACCAGCACCCTGACTGTGAGAAATCTCTTTGGTCAGGGACCTGGACTTACCCCTTTGGGTGGCTGCCTACCACCCTGTAATTTTGCTCCCTGACTCTGTTGCTGTACCCAGGTTGCCTCTCTTTGGGTCTACTTTTGTAACCTCCCTACCTGTTGAATGGTGCAATAAAGACATTTTTGCACCAAGGGTCCTCCATCACAGACACACACTGCAAAATCTTGTAGAAAACCTTCCCAGAGTAGTGGAGGCTGTTAAAGTCACAAAGAGGAGACCAACCCTATATTAATGTCCATGGTTTTGGAATGTGATGTCTAACAAGCCCACATAGGTGTGATGATCAGAGGTTCGCAAACATTTGGGAATACGGTGTACTTTGCAAACTGAGTTCCTAAAATTTCATCTTTATAACTAAAAGCCAGGTCCTTGTATGAGTGGATGATGGACTGAGCTTTGTAGTAGCAACTTGAGGATATAAATCTTCTTCTTAGAGATCTTAGCAGAGTCCTTTCACTAAATAGACTGAGCTCTTCAGGACACCAGACACCCGAGGGATGGCAAACAGCACAAAGTCCCTTTCGCCATTCTGTACTCACTATGTCCTTAAGTAGTCAGTTGCCTCCGTCCAATATCTTCCAGGGCTTTCTTCCAGTGATACCAAACTAGATCCCCAGACAAAAGCCCCTCTTTCAGCTAAAGCAACTTTCAGCACCCTAGGCCCTCCCGCTAGCCCAGCTGAGGTATCTATGAACTACAGGCCCTTGGCAAAAGTACCTAGAGGGCAAGCAGCGCCCCTTGGATGTGATCTCCTCTTCAGGCACAAGACACTTCTGTTCCAGGTTTTAGAGTATTTATTCACACTCCCAGCCACCATCTGGGTAACTTACACCAGGGATTGGCCAGGGCTGCATAAATATTCAGCTGCCAATTTGACTTTCACAGCCCTTTATCTTCTAGAACATTTCCAGCCAGACAGGTAGGAAACAGCCCTGCAGCCAGTGCAACACAGAGCAAACCTAACTAATCACATGCAGCCACAATGATTACAGTGAGCCAGGAACTAAATTTGCCTAATGTAGCACCTATCTAGGAGGGTGCTACATTTGTATCGTCCCCCAACATGCACCCCTGGCAATAAACCTCCTAGTAGTTGGCCAGGGAGACATAAATATTTTGTAACTTTTGTAACTTAGGATATTGGATCCTCTTACACTCTTGCCAGTGACACCCCCCAACAGCAGGCAAAAGCAAAAATAACACGGTGCTTAGGGAAAACCTTCAGCAATTAGAACAATCACTTAGCCCTGGTTGACAAATATGCGGCCGTGCGCAGGCACAAGAGCCCATTCATTTGAATGGACTCCCGTGCCCCGTGACACGCAGGGAAGAAGTCCTTGCACGTCTTTTGAAACCACAGCCCACAGGGGAACCTCGGTTCTCAGTACGGTTGTGATTTCCAATGCAGGCGGCGTGACATTAGAATTAATGGCACCTGTCCGCTGGTCCGCAATCTTCTGTGCGGGTGGTGCGGCTGCACAGATTTTTGTGCAGATCCGCAGCGGCACCACCCACACACATGTGAACCTAGGGTTAGTGCATACAGAGGAGAGGAGTGAAGCTCCCAAGACCTGCATACAGAGGAGAGAAGTGAAGCTCCCAAAACCTGCATACAGAGGAGAGGGGTGAGGGTCCTAGAAACTGCACATAGAGGAGAAGGGTGAGAGCTCCCAAGACCTGCAGAAAGAGAAGAGGGGTGAGAGGTCCCAAGACCTACATAAAGAGGAGAGGGGTGAGAGGTCACAAGACCTGCATACAGATGAGAGCGGTGAGAGGTCACAAGGCCTGCATACAGAGGAGAGCGGTGAGAGGTCCCAAGACCTGCATAAAGAGGAGAGGGGTGAGAGGTCCCAAGACCTGCATAGAGAGGAGAGGGGTGAGAGGTCCCAAGACCTGCATAAAGAGGTGAGGGGGTGAGAGGTCCCAATACCTGCAGTTAGTGCTCAGGCATGACTACTGCCATGCAGCACTAATTTCATATTGTGGACACTACTGCTTAAGGTAGGACCCCCACACAATAATGTTGGAGGGAGTTGAATGAATGAGTGGTTATAGGCTACCCCATCACAGATTGCTTGTTGGCTGAATAATTAAACTGGGTAATTTTTCAGATTTTGCAGGCAAAGCTACGGCGGTTGGAGCAGCTTGTCCACCTGAAGAACGTCCGGATCGATGACCTAACCCGACGAATGCAAGAGGCTGGGAAGAAATGATACTTCACATGTATGACAAGCGATAGCCGCATTCTCAGTACCATGCTTCTGGCATTTTCTATCTTATATTTTTATTTTATTTGCAATTTAATTGTTTTTCTTACACAAATGGTCCTGAGATGTAAAGTGTGTGTAAATATATGCTATTTAATTAAATATCAACCTTTCTAAATTAATGATCATAGCCATTAAACACAAAAAGTGTGAAGGTAAACTCCAGGCAGAACTGAAGTAACCTTTAATGTACCTAATGAACTTGGTTTTGTTTTCCATCCACGTCTTGCTATTTTGTATTCAGAGCCCCCAACTAGAAAAATCTAGGACTGGGGGGCAGGAGGGGCAGCTGCCCTGGGCGCAGTATCTTTATGTGTTTGGAGGACCACAAGGCAGCAGCCTGTAGAATACATTCAATGGAGATGAGTGCCTTCCCTCACCTCTTCTGGGGGACTCCCTACCTGATAGGGAAAGCCTAAGCAAACAAGCAGTGATGTCTCCGATGGTGAGAGCGATTGCCTGCACCAGTGGTGTAATTGGGGGGGTGCAGTCTGCTTTGGGTACCAGCACTCTGAGTGTGTCAACCAGCCTCCTGCCTTTTGTTTTTGCTGCACCCTCTAATGGACAGGCAGAAGAGGCACTGTAGTGCTAGTATTATTGATCCCAGGTGTAGAAGATGACGGCGGGTGCCCACATTAGAGGAAGGGGGTACAGTTTGGCATCTTCACCTTGAGCACTAGATGACCTTGTCTTGGCACTGGTTGGACCACACACTGTGACTTGGTCAACCAATCTCTCCTCCCTTTTACCCTATCTCTAGATTCTAGATTCCAAAAGGGACATATTTACAAATGATCCAGACTTAGATTCACTGATTACCTAATTCATAATGAACAATAGCTGTTGCTGACCTCTCACCCATTTCCTCTCTATGCAGGTCATGGGACCTCTCACCCCCTCTCTTCTCTATGCAGGTCTTGGGACCTCTCACCCCCTCTCCTCTCTATGCAGGTCTTGGGACCTCTCACCCCACTCCTCTCTATGCAGGTCTTGGGACCTCTCACCCCCTCTCCTCTCTATGCAGGTCTTGGGACCTCTCACCCCCTCTCCTCTCTATGCAGGTCTTGGGACCTCTCACCCCCTCTCCTCTCTATGCAGGTCTTGGGAGCTCTCACTCCTCTCCTCTCTATGCAGGTCTTGGGACCTCTCACCCCTCTCCTCTCTTATGCCATGTCTAGGGACCTCTCACCCCTCTCCTCTCTATGCAGGTCTTGGGACCTCTCACCCCTCTCCTCTTTATGCATGTCTTGGGACCTCTCACCCCTCTCCTCTCTATGCAGGCCTTGGGACCTCTCACCCCCTCTCCTCTTTATGCAGGTCTTGGAACCTCTCACCCCTCTCCTCTGCATGCAGGTCTTGGGACCTCTCACCCCTCTCTTCTTTATGCATGTCTTGGGACCTCTCACCCCTCTCCTCTCTATGCAGGTCTTGGGACCTCTCACCCCCTCTCCTCTGTATGCAGGTCTTGGGAGCTCTCACTCCTCTCCTCTCTATGCAGGTCTTGGGACCTCTCACCCCCTCTCCTCTTTATGCAGGTCTTGGAACCTCTCACCCATCTCCTCTCTATGCAGGTCTTGGGACCTCTCACCCCTCTCCTCTCTATGCAGGTCTTGGGACCTCTCACCCCTCTCCTCTTTATGCAGGTCTTGGGACCTCTCACCCCTCTCATCTGTATGCAGGTCTTGGGACTTTTCAACCCTCTCCTCTTTATGCAGGTCTTGGGACCTCTCACCCCTCTCCAATTTATGCAGGTCTTGGGACCTCTCACCCCTCTCCTCTGTATGCAGGTCTTGGAACCTTTCACCCCTCTCCTCTTTATGCAGGTCTTGGGACCTCTCACCCCTCTCTTCTGGAATATTCACTAATTTCTACAAGATCTTCCAATCTGAGTGGTAGAAATAGTGGTAAATACTTCTATATTTAACAATCACCGTACTGGTAAAGCGTTGAATTTCACAAGGTCGACATTCTAAAAATCAATTCTCCGATCTGACAATTCAGGTTCCCCATGGAGTCCCATCTTGCATTCACTGTATACTGAGCGCACATTCACCCACAGATCCGCTGAAGGTCGGTTCATTTGGCTTCACCACCTGCAACATTCACTGGGAGGCGATTGTATCTGGATTGGCCGAATTGTATAAACATGTCCCATATATGAGCGCTAATTTTCTCAATCCCAGAGGTACAGTAAACTATAATTTTCTGCAATCTCAGGCTAAAATGCCTTTATGTATTGCTTGTACAGTATGTATTGGATGTACAGTATATCAGCATGTTAATTCAGACATCATTTGGGTAATAAATATTTATTTGAGTGTTTTTCTTAATATTTTTGTTGCAGAAAATATTTATTTCCTGTTGTTTCCGATCCACTTTATGTAGAAACCCATACAAAGTTTGTAGAGTCTTTTATTGGACTGAATTTCACTGCTGATTGCATTAAAGTGGAAGAAAAGCCTAGTAATAACTATTCTTAAAAAAAAAAAAAAAAAAAAAATCTCTCCCCTTTCTTCCTACCTATCCTGCATATCTGTGTACTTACCTATTTTTAAACCACTATGGTCTGGTCACATGATCTTGCAGCTCCAGCGCCCCTGTGTCAGTGAGCAGTGAGCAGCTGCTGCAGGGGAGAAGAGAGAGTGCTGAGAATGGCTTGGCCTTGGGAGCCTATGGGTGAAATTTCAACTCCCAGAATTCACAGCTGTTGTTGAGCGCTTCCTTATACAGAGAAGCCAGGACTGCAGGATCATGTGACTGAACCAGCTTAGAAAAGGTAGGTACCCAATGGAGAAAACTATAGTCGTTAGGAGCAGGGGTGGACTGACAACTCATGGGGCCCCCGGGCAACAGGGGATCATGGGGCCCCTGTCTCCTCACCCACACTCAAACCACACCCAAAAAAGCCTATGAAAAGGTACCAGGGGCATCTCATGGGGCCCCCTACTGACCCCGGGCCCAGTGCCCGAGTCTCCAAATGGTCAGTCCGCCCCTGGTTAGGAGTATGGGAACAAAATAAGGGATAAAGGACTGGATCATTGAATAGTTAGCGGTATTGAAGCTAAATAAAGAGACGGGATCTCTGAATAGGGGTATGGGAACCAAATGAATGAGTAAGAGACTGGATCTCTGCAGAGTTAGGAATATAGAACTGGACCTCTATAAGGTAAGGGGTGTGGGAACTAAATGAAAACATGAAACATGATATCTGTAGAGCTAAGGGTAATGGAACCAAAGGAAGGCATATGGGACTCTCTGTAGAGTTGGGGTTATAGGAACTAGATGACGGGGTATGGGACAGGATCCCTGAATAGTTAGGGGTATGAGAAGCAAATGAAGGGGTACGAGATTGGATCTTTGTGAACATAGGGGAAACTAAATGAAGGGGTGTGGGACTGGATCTCTGAATAGACAGGAGTAACACTGTTTATAAACATTGATCAGAAAGGAGATGGAGAGATATAAAGTAACATTGTTTGTTTATAAACATTGATCAGATGGAAGATAAAGAGATTCAAAGTAACATTGTTTATAAACATTGATCAGATGAGAGATAGAGAGATACAAAGTAACATTGTTTATAAACATTGATCAGACGGGAGATAGAGAGATATAAAGTAACGTTTATAAATATTTATCAGACTGGAGATAGATAGATAGATAGATAGATAGATAGATAGATAGATAGATAGATAGATACAAAGTAACATTGTATATAAACATTGATCAGATGGGAGATCGAGAGATAAAAAGTAACATTGTTTATAAACATTGATCAGACGGGAGATAGAAAGATACAAAGCAACGTTTCTAAATATTTATCAGGCTGGAGATAGAGAGATACAAAGTAACGTTGTTTATAAACATTTATCAGACTAGAGATAGATACTGTACAAAGTAACACTGTTACTTTTGTATCTACTGTGTTTCATTCCTCTGTAGATCAAAGGGATGAACATATAAAGTCAGTTAAATTAACTATTTAAAGTTATAAACAAGTTTTTTTTTAATTAAAATTTGTTCCTATTTATCTCCCATATTAACCCTTTGTTACTATCAGCCCTAATTTACTCCAACATATGCTGTCTGGTTGTCTGCAGGAATCTGTGTGTGACCTGTAATCATTGCATTTACTGTATCAAATCACCCAGACAGCACCCGGCGGGGCTCCTCTCTTTGTACACAGCGACTAATTGCTGCATTTGACACTGGGATCTCCGGCTCTCAGTGGGGCTCCCACGGGAGCCCAGCGGGAGCTCATGAAACATACAAGGACGTACAGAGCATTACATTAATAAAACTGCCATCTGGAACCATTATTATCACTAATGACTTAGAGCCTTTTTTCGGGTGCAGGAATCTTTTACGCCTGCTTCTTAGCGGTAAGAAAGACTCCATCCATTTTATTCTGGTTTGAGGTGGAGTCCAATTGGCTGAATCCCTCTGCTGATTTTGTATATGTCTTCACTCTGTTTTGAGCACTGTGCTTAGCAAAAACATGTCAAAATGTCTTTTTTTTTTTTTTTTTTTACATTTTTCCCTTATTTTGTGTGAATGAGTACCCCAAACTCAAATTTCAGGGCCCTATTACTCTTAAAAGGGGGGGTTCAGATTCCTATAGGCCTCCTGCCTGCAGACCCCCCACAACCATCATCAGGGTTGTAAGGAAGAGACTCTTGTCTTCATCAACATGGGGACAAGATGCTCTACCAGAGGGGTCCCCCCTTAGAAAAATGCATATTTTACAATTGAAAGAGTGAGTCCCATTGTAATGATGCTAAAGAGACCCAATATGAGCGTATTATGGGGTTACTCATCTTAGCCATGCAATCCTATGCTGCTGGAAGGTGGAGCCAGTCATTCTGTCTACTGCTTCTCCTGCCCACTAACATCTTTACATCTAGATGGACACAAGGAGTCGGGGATTTTACATACACAGTAATGCTGTTCATGGATCCTTCCAAACTCCATCCACAAGAGGACCCCTGTGTTGGGATTGACACCCCTGACAGGCGATGTGGGCTCATCCAAGTCATAGAGTCTATTATGAAGTTTTTGCTTGGTCTTCACCATAACACCGTGCAACGAGAAATGGGCTTTTGACCCTAGTGTTCCCTAAGCTACCTTGCTGCAAGGTTGTGGCCCTTGGGATCACCCCACCAAGGAGTTGGAGACACAGTGTGACTACGCTTTGGAAATGGTGCAATGTAGCAGAAGGTCAGAACCTGAGCAAAGGTTGAGCAGGCAAGAGAGTAGCTGGAGTCCAGGCAGAAGTCGAGGTAAACAACAGGCAAAATAGTAGTTGAAGGCTGAGGCAGACAGCAGGCCAGAGAGTAGTTGGATTCCAGACAGGGTTCAAGGCAGTCAGCAGGCCAAACAGTAGTTTAAGTCCAGACAGAGGTCAAGGCACGCAGCAGGCCAGAATGTAATTGAAGTCCAGACAGAGGTTGAGGCAGACAGCAGACATGAGAGTAGTTGCAGGTCCAGGATGAGGCAGGCAGCAGACAAGAGAGTAGCTGCAGGTCCAGATTGAGGTTGAGGCAGGCAGCAGACAAGAGAGTAGTTGCAGGTCCAGATTGAGGTTGAGGCAGGCAGCAGACAAGAGAGTAGTTGCAGGTCCAGGTAGAGGTTGGAGCAGGCAACAGGCCAGAGATTAGTTGGAGTCCAGGCAGAGTTCAAGGCAGGCAGCAGCCCTGAGAGTAGTTGCAGTCCAAGTAGAGGTTGAGGCAGACAGCAGGTCAGAGAGCAGTTGGAGTCCAGGCAAAGGTCAAGGCAGACAGCAGGCCAGAGAGTAGTTGGAGCCCAGGCTAAGGTCAAGGTAGGCAGCAGGCAAGAGAATTCTTAGAGTCCAAGCTGACTCCAAGGCATGCAGCAGGCAAGAGAGTGATTGCAGGTCCAGGTAGAGGTTGGAGCAGGCAACAGGCCAGAGAGTAGTTGGAGTCCAGGCAGAGGTCAAGACAGGCAACAAGCCAGAGAGTCCAGGCAGAGGTCGAGGCAGGCAGCAGGCAAGAGAGTGGTTCCAGGTTCTGGTAGAGGTTGGAGCAGGCAAGAGGCCAGAGAGTAGTTGGAGTCCAAGCAGAGGTCAAGACAGGCAACAAGCCAGAGAGTCCAGGCAGAGGTCAAGGCAGGCAGCAGGCAAGAGAGTGGTTCCAGGTTCAGGTAGAGTTTGGAGCAGGCAAGAGGCCAGAGAGTAGTTGGAGTCCAGGCAGAGGTTGAGGCAGTCAGCAGGCAGAGAGCAGTTGGAGCCCAGGCTAAGGTCAGGGCAGGCAGCAGGCAAGACAGTAATTGGCATTCAGGCTGAAGTCTAGGCAGGTGGCAGGCAATAGTGTAGTTGAAGTCCAAGCTGAGGAAGGCAGAAGGCAGGCAAGAGAATTGTTAGAGTCCAGGCAGAGGTCAACGCAGGCAGCAGGTAAAAGTGTAGTCAGCAGGCAAGAAGATAAGGGGAGCAAAGCAACAAGCGCAGGAGAGGAGCAGAGTCAGGCAATTTGGGTCACCAACAAGCAAGGCACAACTACAGTAATATCATGTAGTAGGTAATTGGCAAGATGACACACCACCCACCATAAGGGAAGGCATTTAGATACCCTTTTGGGCCCATGTACATGGCCAGGGACGCGTGCCAATGTGCGCTAGCTCACGTATGTGCATGTATCTGCTTATAAATGCCATTGGTCATAGACAAAAAAGCCAAGATGTGACCCCACTAACCAGGCCCCGGGATGAAGCGACCAGTGACAGG